GTTTTTTTTTAAATAAAAAATAATAATAATTTTACTATGACAAACGTTATATCGCAATTTCTATGAAGTAGTTTTTAAAGAATTTCACGAGCTGGATAATTGTAGTGTTTTCAATTTTGGTACGAAAATATAATAACTGCAAAAATTAACTAAATTTTCTTACTTTATAATAGCAATTTTTTTAATGCATATTAAAATTGTTAACTTAAAATTGTTTATTATTCATTATTAAATCTCTATTTAGAGATAAAAAATTTATTTTACTTTTGTAATTCGTAAACACTTCGTATCATTGCATTACATTAATACCTTTTCATATCTTAGATAGACTGTTATGTAACTATCAAAAAGTTACAACTTTTATTTTTTAGTTTCTTATTTATTCATTTTCAACAATTTTATTTATTTTTGAGACTGGCTCCTTCCAACATTTCAAGGAGATTAAATCAATAATAATAATAATAAAAACTAGAGATAATAAATTTAGTTAGGGCAAATTGTAGAAACTAACAAAAGTTGTTTTATATTAATGCATGAAATAATAATGAAATAAATTAAGCCAGATAGAAGCCTTCACTAATTAGTATGAATTAATCATAAATATTTAAGATCACTTTTGCCCAGATTTAGATTAGATCTTCTTAAAAAGAGAAGATCAACGAATAGTTTACACTAAAAAGGGACAACTGGACAGAAGAATTCAAAAAACGAATTTACCTCTGTTCCGTGATTGAGTCTTTAGTTAAACATAGCAAATCCTAAAGAAGTTTACGAACGAAAATAGTAGCTACTTTACAAAGAGAGAGGAAAAGGAGCAACAGGTTGGTTGTGACATCCAAAATTTATGATCAGGAAGTAATCCTCTTAACGGTTTTGATTCGTTATTCTGGGGATCAGGATTGGTGTTAGAGAGGAGTTTAGTTGATCCTTCTGACAGACGAAAATTAAATCCTTTTCTCTTACAGGTTAGAAAGGCTCCAATATTTCCTTGTTAGAAAAAAAAGAGAATAAAAGTTCTCCAAAAATTCTGTATTTTAGATAATTTGATTAGCACATTAGTGATTTGTGTAAGAGTAATGGAATTTAATTAAATTTAAAAAAATAAAGAAAAGTTGAAAGGTTTAACAAATTTTTTATTTATTTTTAACGAATTACACTATTATAAGGACTTAAGTTATCTAACATTTTTTAATGAACAGTTCGTCAATTAGCCATGTAGTCTAAAAAAATTGAAAAAAAAAAAAGAAATAGTTTCTGATAAATGATAATCTGAACTATTATAAGACCTTAATTAATTATTCAATGAAAATTTCATATCTTAACTAAGTGGCCTTATAAAATAAAAACGCAAATATTTTGAGAAACAACAACTATCTTAAGATACCTTAGCTGACTAAAATTATTTAATGAACAGTCCTTCGATTGGCAAAGCAGTTTTAAAAATGAAAAAAAAATCTGTATTTGTTTAGGTAATTTGATTAGCACATTAGTGATTTGTCTAAGAGTAATGGAATTTAATTAAAGAAAAGAAACTGAAAAAAATAAAGAAAAGTTGAAAGTTTTAAAAAAATTATTATTATTTTTAACGAATTGAACTATTATAACGACTTAAGTTAACTAACATTTTTTAATGAACAGTTCGTCAATTAGCCATGTAATCTTAAAAAATTTAGAAAAAAAAAAGAGATAGTTTTCTGATAAATGATAACCTGAACTATCATATGACCTTAATTAAATACAATTATTCAATGAATATTTCATATCTTAACTAAGTGGCCTAATAAAATAAAAACACAAATATTCTGACAAACAACAACTATCTTAAGACACCTTAGCTGACTAAAATTATTTAATGAACAGTCCTTCGATAGGCAAAACAGTTTTAAAAATGAAAAAAAAAAAAAAAAAACTTTTTTTGACAAATGTAGTGATGAATTGAACTATTATGAAACCTTATTTAGCAAAATTATTCAATGAATGCTTTATACATTAGCCAAGTGGCCTTAAATATTAGATAACGGATAATTTGAAAATATTTGATTTAAAAATATTATATCATTTAATTAGTGTTTATATTTTTTCAAGCTCTTATTTACCTCGCTTACTGAAATTAGGTTTGATAGCTCGATTAGATTTGAATTAACCGCAATGTGTTTAATAAATTACAATATTTTTTCTTTAAAGATAGAAGTAAGACCGATAGCATTTTTTTTAATAATACTAAATTAAAATAATTACGAATATTACGAAATTAAAAAAAAATTATTTAGGTCAATCAACAGCCTGATTTGGTAGTGACCTACTATTGCTTCCCCTCATCTCTATGGTAAATCTCACGACAGACACGTTTAGGTGCTTTTAGGTAAATGGTTAATTTAATTTCATTTTCAAGAAATAATATGAAGGTCTCTCAAAAAATTTTGAATTTTTTACCATGTTTTAGAAAAATAATATTACAGATTTAATTTCCTCATACTGTATAGTTATAATATTTTAACAAATTTATTGCAAATTTTAACTTTTACTTACCTCCTATGTGAAAGCGTATTTTTAAAATTCGATTTCTCAAGAATTATTCGAACGATTTCGCTCAAATTTCCTATTTTGCCATTTAAACTTGCATTCTTTAAAATGATGTAAAAGATTGTATACCTTACAGTTCAAAATTTTTCGACATTAATAAATAAATGATAAAATTTTCCTAACAGTTATATTTTGCATGGTATTATCTTAGGATAAAAGAATTTTATAATTGAATTCAAAAATTTATGAGTCGCTTAAAAATTTCTCGAGATATGCTAAAATACGCATAAAGTAAAATTAACACTAAGGAGTTCAAACTTTCTGACCAGCTCTCCGGACCAAACTATCGGGACCATGTTTCTCAGATTGCGACTGCTCCTTATATCTCCGAGGTCAGAAATCTGAATCCATCGAAAAAAAGAGAGAAAGTACGTTTTTGTGTTTAATTTCGTAACTTAAAATATCGTCAGCATTAATTAACTAGTTTATTTAAGGTCATCCCCTCGAACCTTTAAGATCGAGTTCTAGAATGAAAAAATCCGATCATTAGATCAAAAGTTATTCAGGATGGTCCGTTTTGTGATTTTGCGATCTGTGCAACATTAGGAACAAACATAATGTGAACTCCTACTAAATTTTAGAGTTATTTTAAAATTATATTAAACATAATATTATTTAACTGAATAATATATTAAAACGACTCTAGTTTTATAGCTACTGAGATGCATTGAAGCTTACTTTTATAATTACCTTCATCAAAATGAAAGAACACTCAAGAAAAACTATCAATCAAATTGATTGGATTCATTAAACCAAGACAATTAATTCATCATTATCACTTTGAGTTTTATATTGAAGTATAACTCCTTTAATTTAATATTTATTGCGAGGTATATAAAGTTTATTGTCCTTAATATCTTCCACAAAAAGAAAGAATATTTAAAAAGAAAAAAAAACTACAATCTGTCAATTAAACTAATTGAATAAAATACATCAAGATAATTAATACAGTCTCATATATATTACAATAAATAGAAATCTCTCTAGTTTAATATTAATTGCGAGGCATTAATTTACTTTCATAATTACTGAAATTAAAATGAAAGAACATTTAGAAAAAAAAGAATAATACCAATCAAATAGATTGAAGGAAATACAACAAGATAATTAATGAATCACTATCAATAACTGAGTTATGTCTTCTAGTTTAAAATTTATTGCGAGACACATAAGCTTACTTTCATAATTATCCTCCGCAAAATGAAAGAATATTTAAAGAAAAACTGCAATCTATCAATCAAAGAGATTGAATAAAATATATCAAGATAATTAATGCATCATTAGTAAGATATTTCCGTCGCCAAATTCTTCCTTTAAAGGTGGCAAATCCTTTTGAGTGTGCCAAGAGCAGGTTAAAAGTTGAATCTTTCTAACAAGAGGAAGAGTGGAAAGTCTCAGCTTTCTAATTTACGTGAGTCCATGTAACTATATAGGAGAGGTTGCTCAATGGACGACGTGCAGAGTTCATAAATATTGTCGGAGTTTCGCAAAACTTTGGCGAAATGAGGAATGTGAGTTTATCTAAAGTGATTTGTGGCTAAAGTGTTAAGGTGTTGGGGATTTATAAAAGCGTTGAATTCGATCTTCGGATATGGTATTTCAGATTTTGAACGTATTATTAACACTTAAGTTTAATCATATATTGATGAATGAATTCAAGTATATTTCACTAAATTATAGTTAAGTATATTGTATTAAGTATATATAATGAATTGTAAAGGAATTTCTTGAGATTATATAGCAGATACATTTTATTTTGTTTATAATAACACATTTTAAAAATATACAATCAGAGTTTTAAATCTAATAAGATGGTATCAATCTAAGAATCAGAAAAGGAATGAAAAATCAAACCATTTTAAGTAACAAAAAACTTAAGTGACCAAATCTATATTTTTGTATTGATTGAATAGAGCAAGTAGAATAAAATTTAAAAAAAATATATTTGATAAATATCTTCAGAATTTTAATTCAATAAGTTTCAAAAAAATTCAATAAGTTTTTCATTAAAAAGATTTTTTACATTTATAAAAAAAAAGTAGGCTGTAATTATCTTATATTAATTATTTATATCACGCTATTTAACATATAAAGAAATGTGTATTTTAATAACTTAAAATAAAGGATTAAGAATATTAATTGAACACAGCGTTGAATAGTTTACTCTAAATATCTCTCCTTTTGTTCTTTTACTTTGAGAACAGACAAGTATATCAAACTTACCTTTAGCTTCCTACGCCTTGTAATAATAACCTGTCCGAATTACCTTGTCCTAGTATTTCACATTGTTATATTTAGTATTACACAAAGAAAAGTGTTGTGCTAATGGGCTAAAACATGCTTGTACCGTGCTCAACCTTTTATTTTCATTTGCAACTTATAAAGATGTGAACAATAAAGGCTTTATACTGTTTCAGGTGTAATAAACCATATGCATTCCCCGCTAACGTCTATCACAGATCATAGAATACCACCGGAGGAAGTCTCCGGTATCAAGTCTGAGCCACCACCGTCACCATTGCTAACTCCGGATACCAGCTCTAGTCCTATCGGTGTTATCAATGGTCAGTGGACGCAACATTCTTCGTCTAGGCGAGGCAACCTTCAACTCTGGCAGTTTCTAGTTTCTCTTCTCGACGATCCATCCAATAATGGGAATTTCATATCTTGGACTGGAAGAGGAATGGAGTTCAAGCTGATAGAACCCGAAGAAGTTAGTGATCCTACTAGATATCGTCAGTGTAAAAAATATATAATTAAGAGTTTGGGGATATTTTTTCGAAGTATCCACTCTTAAAGAAAAATTTGATCAAACTTCCTTCCTTTGTTGGGCAACAAGGAATTTTCTTACTGTGTGTTCCACTTAAGTAAAGCTACCTTGATTTTATGCCATAAATAAACGCAAAAGAAAACCATTGAAGAAAGTCTATATCTAAACACTTATTTTCAAAAAATAACTTACTTCCTGCTCCACCAAGAAAAAAAAATCAAATAAGTGTAAAAGTAAGAAAAAGCGTCCCATCAAAACTAAGCCACTTCTGATTATAGCCAAAATTTCCGCCACATTTGTATATTACATTAAATGTATGATGTTGTTGATTTACTAAACCCTGGAGATCATTAGCATTAATATTATCCCAGGGTTCTATGATGGCAGCTATAATTTTAAGAAAAACTGAAACTGCTACTTTTTGGCATATACCAGTCCTACTGAGGATAGTTCTCACGTTTGTTAGGGAATATAAGTTAGATAAAAATGAAGGCTATGCATGACATGCACTCTATTATCCAAAAGCCAAGACTTTGAAGATTTTGCAAAGCAAATGAAAACATTGTCCTGCTGGAAAATTCGATTTGGGCCACCAATTCTCTCTGCATATGGCAGTAAGTGGAGTTTCTAGGATTTTTTAACTATCGAGATTCCCCAAACCACCTAGGGTAGTGGCTAGCATAAGTTTACTACAATATCTTCAAAGTGGTTGTTTTTGGATAATAGGGTACAGCTGTTAATGGCCTGCCCATTCTCATGACCTCAATCTTCAAGAAAAGATGAAGATGTAAGGCTATATATACAGAAAAAAAAAGAAAGAAAGAAAGAGAGAATTAGTTTCAGTCTGTGGCAGAACAGAAGATTGTTACAAATGAAATTTGACTTGCAGAGTTGCGTTTTGTTTAGCAGCTTGAAAAAGAGCAAAGGGATCAAACATTTTGGAAAAACAAGAAAAAGATTTACTTAAGAAAACTTGTTATATTCCTCTTTCTTGTTTGACAAAAGAACAAAAATAGAAAATTGGTACCAGCACGTGCTAGTTGTTACATTCGTTTTGTTTCTTTAAAAAAGGAATTTAGGAACCAAATATTAAAAGAAAAGGGAGAAAAAGGACCAAAATAAAAAAAGATACTTTAAGAGACAAACTGTAAACGTACTGTGGCGAATGGTATGCAACATGACATATTTTTTAAATCATATGAAAATATGGCGAATGTTTCGGCTATAATTAGATGTGGCTTAGTTTCAATGAGACATATTTTCCCCTCCTTTTTTACTTAATCGATGTTTTTTTCCCCTATCCAGGAAAAGCAAGAAGTGAGTTACTCCTTATAAATATGTGTTTATATGTAGACTTTCTTAGTAAATATATGTCTTGTTCTCAATGATTTTTTTTTTTTTTTGTATNATATTTTTTTTTTTTTTTTTGCATCCAGTTATCGCATAAAATAAAGGTTGCTTTAGGACACGCTCTAGTTTCAAATTTGTTTGGATTTACGCTTGAAACATGCCGCCGACTGTCATTTCCTATTTGTAGATTTTTTGAAGCGAATGAAGTTTTTAATCAGGTACAATCGTAAAGTCGTATTCCCTTGTAAGACTAAGACTTTATATTTAATTATGAATTGCAGAATCAGTTAAATTTTCCAATAATTTAAAATCCTTCGAAGCGTGAATGATTTAAAGACATGATATTTATACGATGCGTCTCATATATGATGGTAAATTCGAGTTGTTTACTTCTTTATTCTGAAAAGCTTAATTAATTACGAAAAAATAGTTTTGATGAGCTTTTTACGGTGCATGGAAAAGTAATATAGACCGAGAGAATGAGAAATAGGATACAAGGACTCTTCTCTATTTTGAAGAACCAGATTAGGATAACATCCTTTAATCATTGAAAGTCTTTGCTCTTTAAAAATGTTAGGTTATAAATAGTAAGGCTTACATGACAAGTTACAGCGGTTTACAGCAGTTATAATGACAATTTGGTTTGTAGAACAAGAAAATGTCCATTATTTCAATATTTTTCATGCATATAGTCATTAGCGTAAAAAAAACAAACACCAGTTCTCATCAAAAACTAACATTTTTAGAAAGTAAGGGAGCAAGAAGGAGAGGTTGTCCTACACAAAATAAATGGACTGGAACGCGAAGGATCTTCGAACCATGGGCATGGAAAGATGGTGAGTTCGTGCGTTGGGCCGCTTCTTAGAGGAAGCAAAGTAACAGAAAAGCTGACGAAAATGTGACTTGATTGCAGTAGTTGACTTAATTACTGTGCAATTAAGGGTTACACGTAAACATTTTAAAATTATTAATTTTCACCTTAAGCCTAACCGAGAGCAAATAACCAGAAATTAAATAAACCTACTAAATAAAAAAAATAAAATAAACGTTTGCACTAATCTAAACACACATTAAAACGTTTATATGAAATTATCCTTAGGCAACAATGATAATTTCATAAAAAATTTAATTTGTAATAATTACTTATTAGTTTTTATAATTTAATAATTATCGAAAATGCTTTAAATAGCAAGATATGAAACATGCAGTACTTATGAGCAATTGTTTTCAGCACGTGATATTATATGATTTTAAAATAAAGATTTGCTTAAATTTAGGTAGCAAGACGCTGGGGAATACAAAAGAACAGGCCAGCTATGAACTACGACAAGCTAAGTAGGTCCTTACGTTATTACTACGAAAAAGGAATCATGCAGAAAGTAGCAGGTACTACTAAATCATTTTTTATAATTATGAATGGATTTAAAAAAAATTTCATAGAAAGAAATTTATATTTAATCATTGTAGGTTATAAGTAGGGTAGAGGGAAAAACCTGAAATTAACGAAATTTTTTTAAATACTTCTGAAGAACACAAATACAAAAAATATGCGATGTATGACTAAAATATCATGAATAAGGTACAATAAAAGCATACAAAAGAATTGAAAAAAATGCTTTGGTTTTATGTCAGATTAATTTTTTTTCTTCTTCAAATAAACAGCTTTTTTGTGCAAAATATTGCACATTTTTAGCACAAATTTTTTAACACAAAGAATTTAGAAATTTGATTCCCCTATGAAATAGCATGTGTTACGCTCACATTTAAGTAAATTATTTGGAAGGGGGCTATCTTAACTTTTTCTTCCGCTAGTATTCTTATTTCAATTTAGGGAAACAGGGTTAACCTAAAAAACACATAATCAAACTAATCGAAAGACCACCTTAAATGATTTGGATTATTTTTGAGCTATTTTCTTGTAATTTTGCTATTGATCTATTATCCTAAAGGCTTTATCAGTTACAAACTAACAATTTTAGAGCTTTATAATAAGAAAAATTCATGGACATTAGAAAAAACATTATTAATTTGAGGAAATTCGCCTCGTGCATGGGTGCAAGTTGGAAAAAAGGCCAAGACTGAAACTTTTTTGACTGAAATACCTAGCATACGCAATACCCCCTCGACATATGCAAACTATCTTAGAAAGCTTTACCATAATACATCAAGTTTAAATACTGTACAAAAAATATTTATTCATCTGTCTTTTGATAAAATAACAACAGGACATAAGAAAGTAGACCAATAACGTAGACCTAAAAAATATTTTTAAGGACAGAAAAAAAAAATTCAGATTTCCGTCTTCGAGTCAGTTTCCGTCTTACTTCCGTCCGCGGACATTTTCGAAAGACGGAAATCCGTCCTGGGGACGGAAGACTTGCACCCATGGCCTCATGACATGCTTGCAACCCTATTTTTAAGTTGTCCGATATGTTGTTATACAAATAATTGAATCGTGTTTAAGCACGACTGGCTCAATTTTTTTTTTTTAAATTCGGCACGCTGTATCACATAATTCAAATAAGTTCCATATATTATTTCCAAGTTATTTTATTCAATTGTTACTAGTTGTTAGAGAAAACAAATCTTTCTAATTTATTTATTTAAATTGCTGACAAGCACACATTACCATCCCATTTAATAGTCTTGCATCCGGGGTTTTGGAACAGCAGAGGGGGTAGAAAATAGTTTTTTCGTGTGAAATAACTATACACTTAACTTTTTTTAGCATGCTATTCGCCTAATTTCATTTTTTTGAGGATTCTAAAAATATATATTTAAGGCTGAGGTTATCAATTACCTGTACCATTTATCATTGTCAAATGAACCATTCAGCTTTTCAAGTATAAATTTTATATAATAGAAATAACACATGTTAAGTTTTATACGCATCTATTTTACTAACTAAAAAAGATTCTGTTTAAAATGTATTGAACAATTAAGAAGCATATATATATAATGTTCTTATTTATCCGTTAATTACTGTATAAAAATGTATATTGTTTGGAAAAATCATAATAGTGTAAAGTATGGCAAAGTGTAAAACTTGTTAAAAGGAAGAAATCTTAAGTAATAATTATAAAGAGCAACGCATATTTTAAACCATTTCATTTAATTTCTTTCTACATTTTAACTTTGAAAGCATTTGATGTAATTGCAATCATAGACAATATTTTAAAACTTATTAATTTACAAAAATATACAGTTTGTTTTTCTTTTTAATATCCTGAACATTACAATCAGAAGAACAGAAAAATACAGAAATTATAAACAGTAAAAAATTTCTCAAAAATGATAATATCCTTCGAACACATAAAACCTTACTCATGCCGACAACTAGAAACAAGATATACGGTTTTACGAATGTCGCAATGAATGAGTGAACCAAATCTTTGAATATATCTAGAAATATACACACGTAAAAGCTTAGAATTCTTGAAAAGATACTGAAAATCTTGTCACTATTCTTGATATCCATACACATCAGGAGTTGCAAATTATATTTTAAACCATGATTAAAGAGTAACGTTATCAAAGCGTGGAAAACACTAGTGGGGAAAGTAGAATTAAAAATACCAAAAATTGTTTGATTGCCAGAGGATATTTATAGGTGTTTCTGATAGCTGCCTTTCAACTCCTCCCCCAGCTTTCACCAGCAATAAACATTTAGATAGATTTTTATGATTCAAATTTCACCAACAATAGAGATTAGACAGATTTTAATAGCGTTTTTATCTTTTTTAATCTTAATTGACGTCCCCAATTCGCATAAATTTTTGGTACTATTTTTAGCAAAAATTTCAAAGATATGTATTAAGGAAACATCTTGTATATATTTTTACCCTGTTACAGCACTTACACATAAATAAATTTTTCACTTACTCCTATTTAAGTAACCACTGTTATCCAGAATATTCATATTGCTATCATTGCAAAAGTCTTTATTGAGGTTATTTAATATTTTCATGATAAGGACCAAAGCAATTTATGCACAAACCAACATTACACCAGGCGCAAGATACGGTTGTTCGTCTATAGATTCCTTTGCTTCTACATTCCACACAACGTCTTCTGCTCACTTTCTTTTGGAGTGGCCAATGCCCGACAAGTTTACCTGCCGACAAATCAAATGATTTTGAGAGGAAGGACGTTTTCGTGTTTGGGGAAACTAGCGTGGTGTCTGCTTCAGGCAACAAATGCGGTGAATTTGTCTGGAATAATGTCGTATTTTGGGAAACGAGTGTACTTTCTGCTTCAGGCAACAAATGAGGTGCATTTGACTGGAGTGATCTCACATAATGGGAAACGAATGGACTTTCAGTTTCTGGAGCAAAATTCATACCTGAAGACTCAACTAACTGAGAAATCAATTTTAATCTAAAATCTGTGAGCGAAATATTACTCTTTGACAACTTGAATAATACATGCGCATTTGAAATAGATATATCCAGTAAATGAAAAAATAATTTCTTCACACTTGCCACAGATCTATGAGCAGACAAACAGTTACAGTCGTCTTTAGAATTTCGTTCAAAATTCACAGCACTATTGGTTGACACTATTGAAGTATCATTCAAGTATAAATGCTGTTGATTCCTTTTCCCAAGCTTGGATTTCTGCTTTAAAATTCCTCTTTGCTTTGGATTCATCAAACTGTTACTATTTATTTTATGAATGTGATATAACTCGCTAAACAAATTCGGTGAAGAAAGGATACCGCTTATGAACATTTTATGACCTTTACCGCTTACACATTCCACTAAACTCTTTACAGAATTGTAAGCAGACAACTTTAAAGACAGTGTAGAAAACTTAGGTTCTTTACCTAAGTGAAATTCTGAATTGAAAAGATAGCCATTTTTATCCATTAATCTATACATTTTGAGAGTTGGGCCTTCTCTGTCCTTAGAAATATAATGGCGGACACCATTAGCAGTGACAATCACCTTGTCTACAATCATTTCTTCGGTAGGATAGTAAACTTCCTTGAATCTACGGTTTAGAGTGTTTAAAAGCTTACGAATTTTCCACAGGTTATCATTATCGTTATCTTCTTCACAGTTTTCAAAACTTAAAAATTTCATTATTGTGAGATACCTATCACGTGGCATGCATTTACTGAAAACTGGCGTAGATAACAAAGGATCAGTAGTCCAGTAATCTTTAATTTCGTGTTTACGGACATGGCCCATTGCAAGACTAAGAGCGATAAAACGAACTATTTCATCTACAGATATCTTTCGAATATTTTCAGTATGTCTCCTCTTTCGCAATGGTTCACCAATTTCGGCTTGGCTTTTATTGGTTTTGTTCCCGTCTAAAGTTTGATTAATGCACTTGTTGGTTTCATCTGCTATGAGTTGCAACAATTCTGCAGGAAATACACAATTGAAGAAGTCCAATTCAGAGCTTGCTTTGGTTGTATCACCCAAAATTGAGTGCGTGCCAGTAAATTCCAAAATAGCACCATCTACTTCCAGTGAATAAGCTTTTGAATCGTCACTTGCATCTTTTTCGTCCAAAGAATTATCTGAGTCACTGTCATACGGTCCATAATCTGAATCACAATCTGGCATTATTTCTTCATCTGATTCTGTAATAAAACAACAAAAAAATACGACATTGAAATACATAACTAAATGCAAACTGTCCTAAATTAATAAAACAAATAATCAGATGTAAAAAAAATAAGAAGAAAAAGAATATTCATGAAGGTAATTAGCCAGTAGAGAGAGATGGTAAATTTGGCCAACTAGCCAAATTGACCATCTCCATCCATTGTCCTCATTCTTTTCAGCTGTGATGGCCACCGATTAAAAACTGGGAAAGAAAATATTTGTACAGGCTGTAATCGATGAAAAAAAGGGATCAACATCATATTAATATATGCGTCTAAACTGTCAGTCTAGGTACTTCAGATAATCAGATAGTGTTGCGTTTCTTCTTTCTAAAAAAAGTAAAAAAAAGAAATTTATTCTCATTATCCTGCCTATTTAAAAAAATTTTCCGGCCAATTTGAAAACAATATACAAGCTTATTATGACCACAAGAGGGAAATATGTATTTGAAAAATTTTTCTAAAATCATATAGTGAGCTATATAGAAAATTATTTACTACAGAGAATTAATAATTTTAATTCTTCATTGATTGGTCTTATAATTGTTTGCCATATTTTGATTAAGTTCCTGTTTTTCACTTATATATAAATTTGCGACATCCACTGTGTTTAGTGTTTAAATGGACTTCATTTTTTACAGCCATTCTACAAAATACATTATTAAGAACAACCTCTTATTATGACCACAAATGGGGAAATATGCATTTAACAAAGTTTTTTAAAATCAAATAGTGAGCTATAGAAAATTATTTACAATAGAAAATTAATAATTTTAATTCCTCATTGATTGTTCTTAAAATTGTTTGCCATACTTCTCCTATTTTTTACTTATATATAAATTTGATACATTTATTGTGTTTTAATAAATTTAATTTTTTAGAGCTATTCTACAAAATAAGAACTTTCTTAAGAACAACCGCTTATTATGACCACAAAGGGTGAAATATGTATTTAACAAATTTTTTTAAAATCAAATGGTAGGCAACAGAAAATTATTTACAATAGAAAATTAATAATTTTAATTAATCATTGATTGTTCTTAAAATTGTTTGCCATACTTCGATACGATAAAGTTCCTGCTTTTCACTTACATATAAATTTGCGACATCTATTGTGTTTTAATGAACTGCATTTTTAGAGGTATTCTACAAAATACATTCTTAAGAACAACCACTTATTATGACCACAAAGGGGGAAATATGTATTTAACAAATTTTACCCAAAATCAAATAGTAGGCAACAGATAATTATTTACAATAGAAAATAAATAATTTTAATTCCTCATTGATTGTTCTTAAAATTGTTTGCCATACTTCGATGCGATAAAGTTCTTGTTTTTCACTTATATATAAATTTTATACATCTATTGTGTTTTAATGAACTTCATTTTTTAGAGCTATTCTACAAAATACATTCTTAAGAACAACCGCTTATTATGACCACAGAGGGGGAAATATGTGTTTAACAAATTTTTCTAAAATCAAATGGTAGGCAACAGAAAATCATTTACAATAGAAAATAAATAATTTTAATTCCTCTTTGATTGTTCTTAAAATTGTTTGCCATACTTCGATACGATAAAGTTCCTGTTTTTCACTTATATATAAATTTGATACATCTATTGTGTTTCAATGAACTTCATCTTTTAGAGCTATTCTACAAAATACATTCTTAAGAACAACCGGTAAATATGGTACTTGTAGGCATATTACCTTAAGGGTATGCTTTAGTTTCCTTTAAAAAATAATAATAATTATTATTATTAATCTTCTTATAGATCAGGGTTTCTTAACCTGTGGTTCATGGACCCCTTAGGGGTCCATGGGTCATATTTTAGGGGTCCACCGACTGCTCCTAATTTTTAAAACGTTTTGATCAATAATATTTAAATAACATTGATCTTTTTTTTCTTTCTAAAAGGTGAAAATACATACATATTTGAAACTAGGTGATCGAGATACCCAAAATTCAGTACGGACTGCACACAGCCCTCTAATATCCCTGTCATATTTTTAACATCCTCCACTAACCGGTTTTCAGTTTGCACCACCAGGGGCAACCCCTGATGACGTCCGCTGTACTATTTTTATTATCCCCTATCAAGCTATGTACATTTGACACCTTGTTCAGGTTACTAGATCTAGAATTTTTTACTAAGAAGAAAGCCCAGTTTTTGAAATCTGGAACATTAGACAAACTTGGATTTGGTATTCCACAAAAACCTCTGGTTGAGGCATCTCTCAAAGTTGCATATCNCAGAGAATTAATAATTTTAATTCTTCATTGAATGGTTTTATAATTGTCTGCCATACTTTGATTAAGTTCCTGTTTTTCACTTATATATAAATTTGCGACATCTACTGTGTTTAGTGTTTAAATGAACTTCATTTTTTAGAGCCATTCTACAAAATACATTATTAAGAACAACCGCTTATTATGACCACAAATGGGGAAATATGTATTTAACAAAGTTTTTCAAAATCAAATAGTGAGCTATAGAAAATTATTTACAATAGAAAATAAATAATTTTAATTCCTACTGTTCTTAAAATTGCTTGCTATACTTCTCCTGTTTTTTACTTATATATAAATTTGATACATTTATTGTGTTTTAATAAATTTAATTTTTTAGAGCTATTCTACAAAATAAGAACATTCTTAAGAACAACCGCTTATTATGACCACAAAGGGGGAAATATGTATTTAACAAATTTTTTTAAAACCAAATGGTAGGCAACAGAAAATTATTTACAATAGAAAATTAACAATTTTGATTCCTCATTGATTGTTCTTAAAATTGTTTGCCATAATACAATAAAGTTCCTGTTTTTCACTTATATATAAATTTGATACATTTATTGTGTTTTAATAAATTTAATTTTTTAGAGCTATTTAACAAAATACATTATTAAGAACAACCGGTAAATATGGTACCTGTAGGCATATTACATTAAGGGTATGTTTCAGTTTCCCTTTATAAAAAACAAAAATAATTATTATTAATCTACTTATAAATAATTATAGCATTGGAACTGTCTAAAATTCGATTAAAATAAATAGAAATCTAAGAGAGTCGTTGCGTTTTCAATATTATCACCGAGCATACTCATATGTGACTGGGTAGAACAAGAAGATGTTTTAGTAAATTTTAAACACTTTGTGTCCAATAAAACCAATTGCTACCGCTTCTTCTTTATCCAAAAAACAATTTTCGTTCTATCTGTAAGAATAAACAATAAAAAAATTAAGTATGAGAATTAATAAGATAAAAATTATTAGAGAGAAAATCATGAAAAGAAAAATTAAACTATGACACAAGCACTTTTACGAAAAGTTATTAAAATAAAATAAGAATATAACTGGCAAATCAAAAATGCGACTAAATTAAATACAAACAGCATAGTTGATGGATTAAAGCAATAAAATATTTAAAACAAACAAGATAAATGTTTTTCAATTCATTAACAAGATTCATTTTCAATTCATTACTTGTGCATACAGCAATAAACCAAACGAAAAATGAGTGAATTTATCACACATAATTAAAAAAAAAATTAATTATATGAAAGAAATGGCACAAACTAAATCTTATTGATCGATATAAAAATACACACATATTATGCACACAAAAAATATATATATGGTGTCCGAAAAATAACTCTAGAAATAGGCATACGACAAAAAATCTTAAAAATATTTTCAAAAGATGCATTCATGATACCAAATTCTTCCCCAACCTCACCCCATGGATGTGGGTCGGCCGACAACTTCAAAATGTTAAATGAGAATTCTCATTCCTTTTATTACTGACTTGGATTTTTTCTTAAAAATACCCTAATATGACTCATAAGCATATTGGTTCACAGATGGCGCTGCAATCTCAAAATAAAAATGCAGTACTAATAGTATAAAATGCAAATATTTCGAGAAATGCATGTAAATTGAAAACATTAAATATCTATCTAATGGCAGAAATAAGGTGATTTAGGGCGTTGATTCCCAGCTCTACTAGTTGACAGGAAGTTGGGGTTAATTTTGGTATCGTATTATATAGGTACACAGAATCGACCATAACATGTTTTGAAAGCCAAAATGTCATGCTTTCCAGAATGTCACTTGTAACCTTCTTTCCTTAGGTTCTTACATGCATAAATAGTTCTTTAGATTTGAGATGTGTTAACATAGAAAAACTGAACACAGAGACAGAAAAATTGAATAATCACTACGCTGTACTTGGACATTCGTACTTGATTCTTCTTGTTACACATGTTCCATGATTGTAGCTAGACTCTAACTGTATCAACGTTTGTGCAATATTCACCGAAAGCAACATTGTTCAGTTCCTAGAATCGAAGCTAACTCATACCTGCCAACTTTTAATCCTTTCGAGGATGATTTTCCCCAGTGGTAGTAAAATGAAATTTAAATTGCAATTTTAGACAGAAACATAAGTAGTATTTTGAGTAGGCTTATGCGGATTACCGCAATAGCATTACATATTAATATATGTGTTTAATTTTTTTAAAAACAGTGGTGGTCAAAAAGAATATTAATTAAGTTTATAAATGCAAGGAAGCAAACATTTTACTACCACTTTAAATATAGAAATAAAATTTTACGCCAAATGCGTAAAAGTTGGCAGGTATGCTAATTACACCTGTAGTAGTAAATGTACGCTCTATGATACCTTTGGAATATATGCCTTTTCAACTGAAAAATAGATCTTAATATAATTTTATGGACATTCAGAATTTTCTATGACTGTAACTTCTACATCTAAAATATAATTCTTCATTCAAAAACATGATACCATTTTTTCCGGAATAGCTTGAAAATCATATTTCCTTTTCCTGAAAAAAATTAAATACTAGTAATTTAAAAATGAATTAAAAGTTGTTCCAGAAGTCCAAGAAAGGCCAAATATTTCGAAAAAGACGCATTGAATAGGGAGCAAATAAACACGGATATGCTTTAAAAAAAACACAAGTTTTGGCTGTAAACACAAATGGTCCTGTAATCGCAAAATGAATGGTCCTGTAATCGCAAAATGAAAATAAGGCTTAAATTATGGTAGTAACTTCAGATATTTCATGTCAGATAAAAAAAAAAAATAGAAGATTAGATATTTTGAAAAATCTAATGAAACCAAAGTAGACACACACCCAAACCCTTGAGGTTGGGGCGACTATAGTCAGTCTATCCAATCTGCAAGGTGCCTCTGTCTATACAAGAACTCCAATCGCTACAGAGTTTGAAGTTGTCTGCTGCTATGGAAATAAGAAAAAGCACATTTTAGAGTTGAGAGATCTTGATACATTTCTCGCTGACCCCTCAAAAACTTGTCTTTGGTATTTACCCTTTCCCCCCTACTTGACATAAGTTAACCTCGAACCATATTCACCGACAGAGTTCTAGACAAATAGCGAGGAAGTTGTTTAGATTGATAGACTATGGTAGGGATGGGGCAAGATTGGAGTTATTAGATATGTCTTTACGAAATATCTCAATTTTAAACAATTCGTACGCCATTTTCATGTTACGATCAAAGTGTCATCTCAGAGCCAAAATGCAAAAACCTGTAGGTCAAATTGTTTTACGAGGGTATCCATTTAAAATTGTGAAATTTTCCTTTGCCCTATCCTCAGAAAATGAGGTTAAAGGGCCATGTTTGATATTACAGGATAGATTTTTAAAAAGAAGTAAACATGTGTTTTTTTTTTCGTATAGATCTAATACATACTTTTCGAGATATTTAACTGTTCCGGGACATTTAGAATACTCTGCATATTAAAACATGAATTATAAATTTACTTCTTAAATAAGTTGAATAATTAATTAAACGCGAAATCTTTATTGAAAAACAACAATTAAATATTAACAGATAAATTGTTTTTATGTTTTTGAAAAAATGTGTTCTTTTAAGAGTGTCTTTCCAATAAAATAAAATAAAAAACTAGATTTTTTACGGTTTTGTAACCCTTTTGATGTCCACCCCCACAGAGTAAGCCAGTTTGAACATTTTGATTAATTTGTTCACTGGTTAGTTAATCATACCTTACAGCCACTCTCACTCCTTGGTTTGACAAACTTGCAACCTTGTCCCATGTTACTGATGCTGACTTACCGATTTGGGAGCCCTGTTCTAAAAGATATGTTGTATTTTACAGGTGAAAGATATGTGTACAGATTTGTGTCCGATCCAGAAACACTTTTTGCTGTCAACATAAAAGATGCACACATGGACAAAATCGAAACAACCAATGAATACAATTTCCGTCATAACTCTTTGAACAGAAAGCAATATGCTGTTGAAGTTAATCATTTCTACAGCAATCCAGCGCCTTGTTCTAGATCATCCAGAAGTTCTGATCATCATGGATATCAACCATTAACATGTTTGCAAGACTTAACATCTCGTCCTAACACAAGAGATAATAGATGCCTCGCACACAATACAATGGATAATTGTGTTTTTTAAGATGATTAATATACTACCCAAGACTGCATTCCATAATTATGCAAAAAGAAAATTTAAAGAAGAAAAGTTTTAAACTAGAAAGCTTATAGAAAATGCTATTGCAATAAAATGTATTATGACAACATACATGTTACACGGAGACAAAAGTGAAAAACATAAAGAATGATACTGCCATCATAAGTGTTTGTACAAAAAGCAATATAAAGTTGAAGTTAATCACTTCTATAGATATCCTGATCACTAAAAATATCAACCATTTACATACAAGACTTGACATCACATCCAATCACAGAAGACGATTTTTTTTTTCGTGGGTTTTTGTCTTACTCATAATGGTATGGATAATTGTGTTTTTTAAGGTATTTGATACTCTTTAAAATTGTATTCCATGAGTATATTAAAATAAATATTTAAAAAGGGGGTAAGTTTTAAGCTTATAGTAGTAAGGCAATAGAAAGTGTCATAATATTATTAAAAAGTACTACGAGTGTTTCGATAGAAAAAAAACCGATGTTGATATAAATTTAATTTTTTAAATTTGCCTTAAAACGAAATTTAATTTAAACTCATTTACTCCCAGTATATTTTTTGAAGAACATCGCAGAAAAAAATTGCTACAAGAAACCAACTTTATTTAAACTATATCATTTAAATCTGTCTTAGACGAAAATATGTTTTAACTCATTTATCTTCAAACATTCTTTCAAACACGACAAGAATAAATATGTAAACAACTTTATTCCAAAACAAAATGACTTTCCTAAAAGGGGTTAAGTAAATGTAATATTTCAATAACACCCATTGAATGCCTTTGGTTATTTTATTCAATCCTATGGCTGCTCTAAAATCTTATACCTAGTGATCGTCAATTCTATTGTGAATCCATGTTTCTTCAATGCTGAGGATTGAACAAAGCTGATGTGGTCTTGGCTAGTATTGCCTAATCAATTTTGAAAATTCTTGGCTTATTGATTGTATTTAGCTTGGACTAATAACATTGATAGACGTGTACATCGGACATATACTTGATAGACGTATACTTAGACTAATAACATCGGGGATAACCTGTGCACGAAAGCATGTCATCTCTAGAATTTCTATGAGCCACATGACTAGATAATCTTAACTACAGGCAGAAGCTATGTTGAGGCATGAAGCCAAATATCGATAGCGAATGTTAGCGCAATTTGGCGGTGGATTTCATACTTTTTATTCCACCCGTATCAGAATTTTTTTTTATATATTTAATTTTACAATTAAGTATTAATAAAGTAATATGACATTACATTAATTCACAAACTAATTTTTAGTATAGCATTACTCTAACAATATTAGAATAATTTATAACAAACATATGGTAAATTTTCGTTCGAAACGTTGAGTAAATATTTTTTTAATCACAAATAAAGCGATAATCAGCCAAAGTTGTTTACCATTTCTCCTTTGCGTTCACCAGAGTTAAGCATTTAAGAGATTTTAATTCTAAATGAGCCGTTTATTTATGTTATTAGTCTATGGTACGCAATAAATCAAATTTAAAGAACATATACATGATATTATCATATACATGATACAATCGAGAACGTATACATGGTATTATCATATTCTACAAAACAGATAATGAAAATAAATGTATGAAACAAATTTTATCCATTTGTAGATGCATAAAACTAGTCTAGAACAAATAAACGTACATTATAAAATGATGGATAGCTATGGTTGTGAAAATGTATATTCATATCATAATGTAAATACAATTATTTCACCAACAGAAAATATTATCATATTATGTAATTTAATTTTCTTTACTGTAAATAAATAGATAAAATAATTTTGCTTGTCTTGATTCTGTTAAACAAATAACTAAATCAATATAAATGCAGGTAAAATTAGAGTTAAGGAAGGTATTTGAAATGTCTTTCGCTAACTACAACAAATTTAGCGAAGTGACATTAACTTTAAGAAGTGGAAAACAAACGCTTTGTCGAAAAATGAGGTAGGGAAAAGAGGGATGATACCGAAGATTCGAAAATCTGTTGGAGCTGTTCGATACCAATTGATTTGATTTCTATGCTGGTTCGTTTAATTACAAGTGAAAAAACTAATGGACAGTATTACAATTTTATTTTCATTGGTGCTATTTGATCTGCTTGCTAAATCAACAACAAATTTTCAACTGTTCTAGGGTTACAAAAAACGGTGGCGAGGATGCTTAGACAAAGGATGCCAAATTGGCGTAATATTTCTAACATTTTGAACATTGAATTATATTCAATAAACTATACAAATTAGCATAACAATTGTACATAAACATATTCCAATATAAAATTTACGAAGATTGAATAAATGATGTAGGTACATATAATCAACAAATTAACAGATATCTTCTTTAATTGTCCAATGGCAAAACGCACAATTTACTAATGCTACGTTTAACAATTTCCTTGCTAGTTTTAATCTCCGCAACTCTGACCTTTCCCTCCGTTCCGGAAAATAGCTTTAAAATTCGTCTTAAGCTCCACTGATTTAAAGGAAGATCATCCTCTTTTATTAAAACCATCGCATTTAAATTTATGTTGTTTTTCTCTATTTGCCATTCTGTCCTTTGTTGCAAATTGTTCAGGTAATCACGAGACCATTTGGTCCAAATATATTGAACTATTTTTGTTAACCTTTGCCATCGAGAAAGTCGATTTATCCAATTAAGTTGATTCAGTTATTGACCTTCCAACAAAAAAATTTCCTGGTGAAACAATAAGCTTCCTGGTGTTAGAACAATTTCCTGGTAAAACAATAAATATCCTGATGTTAGAACAATTTCTTGGTGAAACAATAAATTTCCTGGTGAAACACGAGACTTGCTGCACAAAAGACCTTTATGCAGTTTCTTTTGAAAATGATTGCATGTAGAGAACTTTTCCATAAGCTGATGCATCTGAGAACCCGTGAATTACGATTATCCTTTAAGTGACGAGGAATTCGTATCTCCTCGATAGTTGGCAGAACAGATAAAAAAACACTGCTATTGAATTTGGAAGTTGTTCATCTCATACTAATATGAGAATCCAGTTTCTGGAGCAACAATTTTGCCTTGGTCAGAATGGGCCCCAAGAAATCCAAGAGTGTCAAACAAACGTGAGATGATGGATAACACCTTTCGTTTAGTGTATGAGTCATGGATATTTACTTCAACTTTGAAGGTAAAATAATCTAAGTTAGGGTTCCAAATAACCCCCATGGACTTAATGGTATATCGGGTGACTAACAATAGAAATCATAAGCTTGGTCTTCCCTGGAATTCTAAAGAGTTTCTAAAGTATTAGTACACCATTTGTGTAAGCTCATACCTGCTATTTTAAATAATCCCACTAATTGTTCTTGTAACGATTGAAATTCCTGAAAATCAGAACTTTCCGATAAAATGTCATACATATATGTGTCTCTTACTGCTACAGCAGCGGCTAAGGCAAAACTATCACCCTCATCAATGGTTACTTGCTAAATCGTTTGTGCAGGATGCAACGTATGTAACAGTGTTAAGTTTGCACTGGGTCATTCACGCTATTCTTCCGTAATATCAACTGAAAATTCCGATGATCTGGTTGAATCAAAGTTTTTCTAAACATTTTAGAAAGGTCGGTAGTGGACAGATATGCATGCTGCCTAAATCACAAAAGTATCGAAAACAAGTCTTGTTGTATAGTACCGCCCTTGTACAAAATATCATTTAAAGAAAGACCGGATGTCGTTTTGGAGGAAGCGTAAATACCACCCTCAACTTAGTGGTTTTAATATCTGGGCGAAGTACACCATGATAAGGTAAAAAGTAAGTATTTTTATCAAGAGGTTCAACAACTAATTGCATATGCACGATACAAAGTGAAAAGCCCTGAAAATTTTATGTGCAAAAAAAACAATATCAATTTATAAACCATGCATGTTTTATTTTTAACATATTTTTTTAACGAGCATTTTTAATTAAATTACTTACTAATGACAAATATCAGATCTTTATAGTAACTAATTTAAGAAAAAACTTATTTCTTAGAAGAATTACAATATTGGATTTTAAAAAAGTGAAGATACAAATTGCGATATAGGATTTAAACTTGCGTGAATGCAAATCGCGATATTGGGTTGTAAAAATGCGTAAATACAAATCGCGATATTGAATTTTTAAATTTTGTGAATATGAACTGCCATACACGCAATTTAAATCGTACGAATTGCAATACGTAACCATTGCAATGTTGGATTTTAAAAATGTGTGAAGACGAATCGCGACATTGGATTTCCTATATATATATATATACACTTTAGGCTTGTTTTGATTATCTTAGACATAAGCAGCAGACGATTACAGTCGTTAAAGCATTATGATATGTTCTCTCTCCAAGTTGAAAATGAACTATTAGATATTATTAAATACATTGCGGAAAATATTCTCAATTCCAAGGAGTAGTGATCGATGCATTAAATTTAGAATGCTTGTTTATACACCTACAAGATGAACATCTTCGCGTGAACATGCAAATCAGGGTTGCATTAAATACGTGTTCTACAGTTCGTAAGCGTTGCTTTTCATTAAATTTTGACTTAGCGAGTTGCTGTTAGTCAAGAATGCCTTTAGAGAAGACGAAGAAGCCATTATCAACAGCTCACTGTCTATGAAGGTGGTCGGGTAATAGGGCGCCGAGAAGGTGAATTTTTTTCCGCGATATAGCAGAAAGACTGAGGAGAAATGTAACCACTGTGCATGATTGTAGGAAGCAGTGGTCAAGGGAAGGTACTGCTTCAAGAAAACCGGATCCTGGGTGACCACGCGACACACTTCAGAAGGAATACCGTCGTGTATGGCGTATGGCTGCGGCACACCGTACAGAGTCTGCAGCAGCAGTTGGCACTGCAGAGAGACAACGAACTAATAAAACGGCTACTTTAAGTACAATTCCAAGCGAGACAACCTGTAGCTTGCATTCCCCTCACTCCAAACTACTGCTGTTTTTGACATGAGTGGTG